GAGTCAGAAGGACGTGAAAGGCAGGGGAAGGAAGGACAGGCTTCCTCGCTGAGTCCCCCATGAGTCTGTCCCTCCTTCACAAGACAAGGACACAGCTACCGTCTGTGCGACAAAGACCTGTGCTTGCTTTCCTTAGAACTTCGGGGTCCTCGCCCATAAAAAGGGGATAATAACGACCCAACACGCTCTAAGTTCCGCTCAGTCAGTATGACTATCACCAACAGCAAATTCATCTCTCTGTTCGCCTCGACCCCGGAGACGGGTTAGGGACCGAGCCCAGGCCGCTAGGGGTACTGTTCACCTGTCTATCCAGTATGATTAACAGGGAGAGAGGCCTCTTCAAGGGTCAGTGCTACCTGCTTCCGTGTGTAGTCCAGAGTGGGGCTAGGGAGCCCTCTCTCCAGCAAGAAGCCACCCTGCCTCTCAGAGATCTGAACCCTGGGCCATGGACCATCCCCCACCAGCAGGAGTGAAGGAAGGCTGATTCTAAAAGCTTCTAGAGAGCATGCCCTGGGGGTCCACCATCCAGATGGGGCTGGCCTCCTCCTATCTGGAAGGAGGGGAAGTATACTGAGTACCTCTCTCGCACTCCTGACTATAACAAGACGGGAGGAAGGGGCACTTTGGGTGGGGGCTGGGAACACAGCTGGCCCCCGTCTTTGCCTGTAGCTCTCCAGTCCTGGGGAAACCCATGGCCCCTGCTTCCCCTTCCCCTGCTGCTGCTCGGGCGTTCCCCTCTCGTGGAGAGCCCTTCCTCAATCAATCGTTCAGATCCCAGCTCCGTTCACCGGGATCTCAGGCCCCCTCCTTCCCTCTTCCCTCTGAACTCCCATGGTGCTTTGCCTGTCCCTCTCAATGGCAATTTGCACACTGTGTGTCACAGCCACAGCTGCACACCTTCATCCCGCGCTGGAGGACGCGGGGATGACAGTCGTTTTAGCAAAGGCCCTGAAGCCCAGGAGGTAGGAACTTAAAACAACAGCTTGTGGGTTCTCAGCCCTGTGACCCTGGGTCAGCCGCTCTCCTCTCTGAGCGCGTTACCGCTGGCAAATGGGGCAGTAACAGCAGCTCCTCTACCGACTGGCTGGTGTGATTTAATGAGATAATATGTCCAGTGCAGAACCTTGGAGAAGGCAAAGTCCACTGACGCAGCCTTGGTTCGGGAGACTTTTTTTTTTTT